AGCCACTCCTCGGAAGGAAGGTTGGGCAATCTACTTCCATAGTGATACTGCCTTGGAAACCCAAGGAGGGGTCGCTATGAGTCGGATCCGACTCGATGACAAATAACAACAACAATAACTAATGAATCATGTTGAAGTTCTTTTCATGTGCCTATTGGTCATTTGTATGTCTTCTTTGGAGAACTGTCTATTCAAGCCCGTTTTTAAATTGGGTTGTTGGACTTTATTTGTTATTGGATTATAGGATTCAGGCTACTAAACCCTTATCAGACATAAGATTAGCAAATATTTTCTCCTTAGTATGTTTTACTTCCCCTTTCTTGGTAGTGGCCTTTGACACACAAAAGTTTTTAATTTTGATGAAGTCCAATTTATCTCTTTTTAATGTTGCCAGAAGTCCAGGTCATGAAGATTTACCCTTATGTTTTCTTTTAAGAGCTCTTATATTTAGGTCTCAGGCTTCCCAATTTCAGAATTTACTACAAAAATACAGTAATCCAAAAAATAAATAAATAAACAATCCAGTCTGGTATGCAATAAGGATAGGCATAAAATCAAAGGAATAGAATTGAGGGTCCAGAAATAAACCCATACACACATGTTTAACTGATTTTTGACAAGGATATCAAGTCCATTCCATGGAGGAGAAATAGTCTTTTCAGCAAATGGTGCTTGGAAATACATATTACTTCCAGTTGTGAGAATTAGAGAATGTCACCGCAAGGAAAGTAACTTTCAGGTTTTATATCATATTATTACTGAGAATGCATCATAATCATCATAATATAGTTAGTGTGTTTTAGGGAAGCAGGTGATCATCATAGTAGCTCCTACTTATTAAGAGCTTACTATGTGCCAGGTATCATTTAAGTTCTTTGTACACATTAACCTACTTAATCTTCACAAAAGCCCTATGAGGTAGGTTACTATTATTGTCTCCATTTAACAGAAGCAGATATTGAGACACACACAGAGAGGCAAAGTAATTTGCTTAAGGACACACAGTGAAGTGAGGGGTAGAGCCAGGATGCAAACAGCTGCAGTGTGGCTCCTCTCTCTTCCATACATCAGCAATACTTGAAGTGTGGTACCTTCATGGGCACCCAAGAGACTTACAAGAGGTTGATAAAGTCAAAACTACTTTCATAATAATAGTAAGACAATATTTGCTATTTTTGCTCATTCTTTCAAGAGTGTACAGTGGAATTTTCTAGAGACTACGTGTGATAACAGATTTAATACAGAAGCAGATATGAAGATCCACCTGTCTTCTAAGGCAGATCCTGAAGACATACACAAAAATTAAAACTGTGCCATTCTTTTCACTGAATTCTTTTTCACAAAATATACGTTCTTTTCATAAAAGTATATTATTTATGTTAAGATGTAAAGGGTTTGTTATTGGTTTTTAATACCTTAATATTTAAAATTTTGTTGCAGATTTAATTTTAACAGGATAAGTATCTATACATATAATCTACATACACAAAAGTTCTTGGGGTTTTTAATGATTTCTAAAGAATGTTAAGGGGTCCTGAGACCAAAAATGGTTGAGAACCGAGGACCTACATGGTTTTGCTATAGGGGAGTGGCCACATAAGAGCTGGCCATGATGGCAACTTTGTTGTCAGACACCTCTGAGACCTGTCACATAAACATCATATGCTCTTTATAATTTATCCTTCACTTACTCCTGTGAAACTTGACATAATAATGCGAGCATCTTGGAGTGGCCATGAGAATTAAATGAGAGGATGCAAGTAAAGCACCTAGTACATAGTAAACATTCAGTCAGTGGCACCAGCCCTGTATTTTTCTCTTACCACAGGTGATGGAATTTTACTGCCAGTCTTGTGAGACTGCCATGTGTCGTGAGTGCACTGAGGGGGAGCACGCAGAACACCCGACAGTCCCGCTTAAAGACGTGGTGGAGCAGCACAAGGCCTCCCTCCAGGTCCAGCTGGATGCCGTCAACAAAAGGTGTGGCATACCTCAGCAGGGTCCAGGTCCCCCAGGCTCATGATTAGCCACCTGTGCACGGGGCTTTGCCTCATGGTCTCTTGTCCTGGTGGGTTAGTAGATTAATGTTACCTTTTAAGGAATCAGTGTCTGTGCCATAAATAGGTTATGCTTTGGTCATGGGTCTGTAATCATAAACTAGTGGGTGATGAAGGTTGTTCTCTACCCTTGGTAAAACTCCAACCTTCTTGTGTTATGAGTGGTGGCATTTTTGTTTTAGTACCTTACTTTGATTAAAGGAATAAAATACATTCAAAGAAAATGCTCTCAGGAGATCTCTGCCTCAAACCAGGCTGTCTGAGGACCCTTCCTTAGCTGCTGTTCTTGACACACTGACATATTACAGAAGGCTGTGACTGCTTTCCCACTGAACCAGGAAAAGTGGTACTGAGCAGTGAGTGATTGCTCAATTCCCTTCATATTCTTCTGCTTCCAGGCTTGTTCTCTGGCTTGGATGTGAAGGAACAGTGTCACTGTGTGGTGCACGGAAAAGATCAAAGAGGATATACTAACAGGAAAGCAGAACAAATAAATCTCTTCACTATAGTTGTAGTGCAAAATGTGTGGTCACTGTACACTGAATAAAAGAACTTTGAGATTTGGGAGATACTCTTAGTTTAGATAAGGTTGTCATGTGGTTGGGGAAAAAGAGACAGTTATATTTATTTAGAACAATCATTTTTAACCATGGGAGATCTTGCCCTCCTTCCCCAACTGACATTTGGCTATGTTTGGAGACATTTTTGGTTGTCACAACTGTGGAGGAGTGTGCTATTGACATCTGATAGGCCAGGATGCTGTTAAACATCCTATAATGCACAGGAAGGCCCCCCAACTAATGGCCCAAAATGTCAATAGTACCAAGTTTGAGGAAACCCTGATTTAGAATATGATGTATTCAGAGAATTCCTGTCTAATCCAGAAGAAGGGAGATGGCCTTTCAGAGCGCCTCAAAGCTTTGAACCATGAATTATTAAAAATAGATTGAAGGTCAATTGAAACAGATGTGGCCCTTCATATTCCTTCTTTCAAAGGCAGTAAATATGTTATGTCTTATTCATTCTGTTCTTCAGTTATTATTATTTTTTGAAATAATGAAAGGCATAACAAATGTTTTTAGCAAAAACATAGTGTTTAGACAGATCTTTGAATATATCAGGATTGATGCTAAATAATGATCTTTAACTACTGTCCTCTAGGCTCCCAGAAATAGATTCAGCTCTTCAGTTCATCTCAGAAATCATTCATCAGCTAACCAACCAAAAAGCTAGCATTGTGGATGATATTCATTCCACTTTTGATGAGCTCCAGAAGACATTAAACGTGCGAAAGAGCGTGCTGCTTATGGAACTGGAGGTCAACTATGGCCTCAAACACAAAGTAAGACTTCAGTTGTTCATATAGATATCCTGTAAGAGACCTGTGGTATCAGTGACACTTCCTGACACTAGTTTACTGGGTTCTAGTAGCAGCAAAGGTCAAATGGTTTCTTAAGTGTCACAGTTGAAGAGTAAACTGTAGTTTTCATTAAATGAAATATCCAGCTATTTTTTTCCTTTCCTGTCTGCAGCAAAGCTCAATGGTTCTGTGACCTTAAGAACCAATTTATAAATGATTGTCTAATTTGACAAAAAATGAGGTTGACTCTAGAGTAATGCTTTCAGGATTTAGGGTTAAACTGGATTGTTTTCCTTCCTTAATTATAATGTCAGTGTCTTAATTGCTCTCTCACCCACACCAACCAGTTAGTCAACTTCAAAGTGAACCCTGACTGCAGCCTTTGTTTAACTCTGCATGTGTAATCATAAAACCAAGGATGAAATGCTTCTAATAGTCTGGTGTGGAGAGTTTTTATTTGTGGGTTTCTGTTCCTTTGGGTGGTACTCTTTAGGGGAGGTTTGGACATAAAGTAAAGATACTGGATAATGAATATTTCAGATTTCAAGCACATCAATTTGTTTACTACGCTCTTGGTAGTGACGTTTCTACTTGTCCCTAACAAAAACATATGACCCAAGAAATATGTGTGTGGGAGAGGCAGGGGCGTAATGTGTTTGTGTGTGTATGGGGGTTGGTGTGGTTAGAAAATACTGGGAATGTAGGGTAGGGTTTTGCATTATAGCTGGGTTCACTGGGTGAAAGTAAATACTACTTGCTTAGCGCCACCCCAGTGGGCAGGTCTAGACACTCAGCCATTCCAGTGTCCAATAGGCTCATCTGGTGCCCCGCGGGGAGAGCGTTGGAGCCTGGCACCACACCCGGCTGCACTCACCAGGTATCTGGTTTTTCCGGCAGGTCCTTCAGTCACAGCTGGATACTCTGCTCGAAGGGCAGGAGAGTATTAAGAGCTGCAGCAACTTCACAGCTCAAGCCCTTAATCATGGCACCGAGACCGAGGTGCTACTGGTCAAGAAGCAGATGAGCGAGAAGCTGAACGAACTTGCTGACCAGGATTTCCCATTGCACCCTCGAGAAAACGATCAGTTGGACTTCATCGTGGAAACTGAAGGACTGAAGAAGTCCATCCACAACCTTGGGACGATTTTAACTACCAACGCTGTTGCCTCTGAGACAGTAGCGACGGGAGAGGGGCTGCGGCAGACCATCATTGGGCAGCCTATGTCTGTCACCATAACAACCAAGGACAAAGACGGGGAGCTCTGCAAGACTGGCAATGCCTACATCACCGCGGAACTAAGCACCCCTGACGGGAGCGTGGCGGACGGAGAGATACTAGACAACAAGAACGGCACCTATGAATTTTTGTACACTGTCCAGAAGGAAGGGGACTTCACCCTCTCTCTGAGACTCTATGACCAACACATCCGAGGGAGCCCTTTTAAACTGAAAGTGATCCGCTCAGCTGATGTGTCTCCCACCACCGAAGGCGTGAAGAGGCGCGTAAAATCCCCTGGGAGTGGCCATGTAAAGCAAAAGGCTGTGAAAAGACCCGCCAGCATGTACAGCACCGGAAAACGAAAAGAGAATCCTATTGAAGACGATTTGATCTTTCGAGTGGGTAAGGAGAAGGTGTCATTGTGCCAGATGCCTCAGCCCTGGTTTGGTTTAGGGGTCACTGGGAAAGTATTACTTACTGTAAATAGTAACACTGTAGGTCAGAACTTCTACGTGAAGGCGCTGGAAGCTATATTTTATTAGGCTTGTTTGTGTTGTCGCCTCTGGAGATTTTACTTTCTTCCTTTTTGTAAAACATACATGTGTTACATAAGCATTGTGGAAAAGTAAACACTGAAAATGGGCAGAAAGAGAATAATCATAGCACCCATAATCTTCAGATTTTAAGGGACATGTTGGCAATCTTTTATTTTCCTTAGGGAGTGTGTTCAGAGAATTCCTGTCTAATCCACAAGAAGGGAGATTGTTACATCAGATAACTTGCTGTGTGTTTCTCCGAAATCTCTCAGCCATGGCTTTACTATGGGTGGAGTATTTGATGTCTCCCTGTAACTGTGTCGGCATATAAAGGATGTGTGTACAGTGGTGGTCACCTCTAGCTCTTCAGCTGGGTATATCAGCCCCAGCTGGGGCACAGTCCCAAAGAAGGGAGGTTGGGTGGAAGTGGTAACTTGGAGAATAGAATGGGTTTGGGACAGAAGGAAAAGGTGCAGAATGTACCAAGAAAATTTGGGAATTCTCATATTTGATTTATTGCCTCTGGTTTTTAACAATGATTTACTTCCTCAAAATAAAATAACTAAACTAAGTGTAAACAACAAAGGACAATTCTTTAAAAAATAAATCTGCATTTGTGCTTAGTTACTATTTCCACAAATAGCTCCCGCCTGCTTCTCTTTGTTCTTCAGCGCTATAGTGCAGTATCGCTTAAAAGGCACTGCTCAGTATCTCAACTGAGACATGTAGAAAAAAACAGCTCTGTGGTTCAGATAGATTGGATTAGATTAGGTTAAATGATAGAAACAGATTTCTTTACTACAGACCTTCTCAGAACCTTTAAAATCTGCTGATGTATACTTTTAGTCTGCAAGGCAGGGGAAGAGATAACAGGCAACACTTGTAGACTTTTCTGTGCATAGAATTCTTTTTCTGTGGAACATCTTGGGAAACTAAGGATCCTAGGAACATACTAGGGCAAAAGCTGCTCTGTGCTCATATTTTAGGCTAAATCTGGTAGAGATGGTGATAAGATATTTAACTTGTTGCCATATGTGCATGTGGGTACAGAGGTTGATATACTCCCCACTACTTCTAACACAGAGTAGAGGGACTAGGGCTTAGCACAGAAGCAAACCTCCCAGGTTGGCTGCTCTGATTCTGCCACTTACTTGAATCTTGGGCAGATCTCTCAGCATCCCTGGGTTTCAGTTTCAGTGCCCATAAAATAACACAAAAATATTTACTTCTCACAGTTCTTCTAAGTACCAAACTTAGTGCTTGGTATGTAGGTGGCACTAAATAAATGAAGGCTGGGGAGCTCTGGTGGCATAGTGCCTAAGGCATTTGATTGCTAAGCAGAAGGCTGGCAGTTCAAACCCACCAGCCACTCCTTGGAAGGAAGATTGGGCAATCTACAACATCATTGGGCAATGATGTTGCCTCAGAAACCCAAGGGGGGGTCGCTATGAGTCAGATCCAACTTGACGGCAGTGAGTTTGGTTTTTTTGGTTTATTGTTATTGTAGCAGTCAAAAAATCTAATGTCATACTGCATTGGCAGATATGCTGTAAAAGACCTCTTTAAAGTGTTCAAAAGCAAAGATAGCACTTTGAGGACTAAGGTGCACATGACCCAAGCCATGATAGTTTCAATCACCTGATATGTAAACTGGACAATGAATAAGGAAGATTGAAGAAGAATTGATGCATTTGAATAATGGTATTGGTGATGACTTATTGACTAGACCATGGACTGCCAGCTAAGATAAACAAATCTGTCTTGGAAGAAGTACAGCCAGAATGCTCCTTAGAAGTAAGGATGATGAGATTTCGTCTCCTGTACTTCAGACATATTATCAGGAGGGACCAGTTTCTGGAGAAAGACATCATGCTTGGTAAAGCAGAGGATCAACAAAAAAAAGGAAGATGCTTAACAAGATGGATGACAACAGTGGCTGCAACAGTGGACTCAAACATGGCAATGACTATGAGGACGGTGAAGGACCAGGCAGTGTTTCATTCCATTGTACATAGAGTGGGAACTGACTTGACAGCACCTAACAACAACATTATTTTTGCACATATTATTAAGGCTATTTGACTATCCTAACTATATTTTTTTCTAAAAAAAAAAAAAAAAATTTAACTTGTTGCTTCCCATTGGACACCTGCATTAAGAACCAACTCAATGTCTCATTCAAACCCCAGCCAAGTGATCCCAGTCAACTTCTGCAAGCAGTGTGCAGAATGGAGAAAGACTCATGTCTGGAATTGAGCAGATCTGGATCTGAATCTTGATTCTTTCTGCAGCTGGGCAGATGGCTTACCCTTTCTGAACCTGGTTTCCTCCTCTGTAAAATAAAGGGAATATTACCTAGCCCTTAAGGTTGCTATGGGAGTGAAATGAGAGGTACTGCTTTTTATGAGCCTGCCACTTGCCTCTGTACAGTAAGTACTTGATAGTTGTTAGGTGTCCTCTAGTTGTTTCTGACTCATAGTGACCCTCTGTGCAGCAGAACGAAACACTGCCTGGTCCTTCACCACCGTCACATTGTTATGTTGGAGCCCATTGTTGGAGCCACTGTGTCAATCCATCTTGCTGAGGGTCTTCCTCTTTTTTGCTGATTCTCCGCTCTACCAAGTCTGATGCCTTTCTCCAGAGACTGGTTCCTCCTGATAACATGTCCATAGGATGGGAGACAAAGTTTCGTCATCCTCACTTCTACGGAGCATTCTGGCTGTACTTCTTCCAAGACAGATTTGTTTGTTCTTCTGGAAGCCCATAGTATCTTCAGTATTCTTTGCCAGTACCCTAATTCAAAGGCATCAATTCTACTTTGGTCTTCCTTACTCATTGTCCAGCTTTCCAATGCATAGAAGGCAATTGAAAACACCATGGCTTGGGTCAAGCACACCTTAGTCCTTATTCTTGTTATTAATCATCATCATTTCTACTAGTGATTTGCATCTGAGGGATAAGGCATATCTTTTGAGGATTTTTTTTTTTCACCCAGCTATATTGACTTTAAATCCCCAGCTCCCATCCCAGGTGAAAGGATATGTACTCCTTTCTCTTCCTAACCATTAAGAGATGCAGGCATAGTGATCCACCAGCATTGATGGGAAGGTGTTTAAATGTTTATGTATTTGCAAAGAGCTTAAAACAGTGCCTGACATATAGCACTATCTATATGTTTACTAATGAAGTAGAGATATTACACACCTCAGGTGTGTAGGGGCAGAAAGAAAGATGAATCTCGCTGGGCTATTCCTCTTTAACCTTATGTTTTAATCCAGAGTCCATCTAAAAGGTGCTACTCCCTATTCAGTAATATAACTCAAAAACATTTATGGAGCACCTAGTGCCTTCTAGGCACTATGCTAAATGTTAAGGATAGAGATGAAAGAGATATGATCTCCTCCCTTAAGGAGCTTACACAGTTTGGGGTGACAGATGCATGACTAACTAACTATAATACCATGGATTAGGTGACAGAAAGCTATGCAAATGAAAAGGAATTTAAAATGGGAACTGAACGATAAGTAAGATTTATCCAAGTTGGCAGGAGGAAATGGCATTCCAGGCCAAGGGACCAATGGGAGGAAGGATGAATAGGAGTGAACACGATTGATGTTTTGGGGAATACATCCCATGAGAAGATGCTGGGTGAGCAAAGGTGTAGAGGAATGAAAAGTGAGGAGGGCATTGCCTGAGGTGGAGTACATGAATCAGTGTTGGAGCCCTCTGCTCCTTGGGAGCCCTTTGTGCTTTCACAACTGGTTACCTTCATTCAGGAAGTCTTTCCCCTACTCAAGAACTATCTAATCTATCTATCTCTTTGTGGTGGTTATGTTTGTGTGTCAACTTGGCTGTTGTTGTTGTTGTTGTTGTTGTTGTTGTTATGGGCCGTCAAGTCGGCCCCGACTCATAGAGACCCCTCCTTAGGTTTCCGAGGCAGTATCACTACGGAAGTAGGATTGCCCAACCTTCCTTCCGAGGAGTCAGCTTGGCTAGGCTTGGTTAAGTGTCTGGGCAGCTGGTGGTAGTTACTCTCCATGATGAGACTGGCAATCAACTCCATGGTGGAATCTACCACAAGCAGCTGAGTAGCTGCCTTTGGGATGTGGTCTGCTTCCTGTATATAAGGAGAAGCCTCGGGAATGGTCTCTAGCATGTGACATGCTTGGACCCTGCACGTAGCCATGTCATTGCTCAGCAGCTTGCTGCTATGCTCTGCTGACCTTGGGACTTACAAGGGACTTAAGTTAATGGCCTGCCGTGTGGTTAGGTAACATCGGGACTGTGCCTTTTTATTTGTCAACCTTGGGGCTTCTCAACCTCAGCAGCCAGCAGCTGTCTGAGTGAAGAAAGGCCTCTAGCTCCAGTGGGCCGGGAGCAGGAGGCAGAGCTGGACCCCAAGGTTGAGGGGCTTTCACCGAGCCCCTAGAACCTGGCACTTTGAACTTGGACTTAAAGCCTTCGAACTGTAGGAGAATAAACTCCTGTTTATTGAGACCATCCCATTTGTGGTATGTTCCTGTCAGAGAGGCACTAGGTAACTAGAACACTCTTTTTATTTTTTTTGCAGTTGGAAAATACAGTAACTATATTTACTCATTAAATACTAATTATGTTTTCCAAGCCACAACTTGACAACATCCAAAATGTGTGTTTAATTTCAGTACAGTGGATTCAAGACCAAGTATACATGTTACATGCATCAATGCAAGCTTTAAAATTTTCATCAGTCTTCTTCACATTTTCTCTTCAATGCATTTGATGGTAGAACCACCTTCCCTATTAAGTATTTCTTGATTTGCTTCCCCACATGTGGCCCCTTCTTCCTTTGGACTTCCAAAGAACCCACTATGACTATTTTTATTT